CCCCCCCCCCCCCCCCTTTTTTTCCTCCTTTTCAAATGATTCCTATATCTACAAATCTCAGCCACTGCATACACACATGAATATCCAGCCCGTAGCATGAGCGCGTTTGCAGAAAAAGAGGAATCAAAGGCCATTCAAGAAAGGAAATCGTAATGTTATATCTATATTTAGCTTCCGTTGTCTTAATTGGCATGAAGAGTACAATCAGATAAGGCTTTTGACTGTGACTCACATGCCGCTTCAGGAAAGAGAGAAATATCATTTACTAGCAGGTATCTCTGGCCAAGATTTTATTTTCTTTCTTGTTCTTTTCACTTTAAAAAAAAAAAACACTGCTGTGTTCATTATAGTGCTAATGCTTAAGTTGTGAAAGATCTCCCCCAACAGCAGCTACTGTACCTGCAAATTCTTACAACTGTTGAATAAATAAACACCAGAGAGGCTGTTTTTTAACTTCACGTTTGCATTTCATCCCCCAGTCGTCGTTTTATCTCCGCAGCCGCCGCAGAGCTCCGTGTCGCTCCCACGTCGCCCCTTTATTACAGTCTCTGTAGTACTGGTCCATCTGGGCTCTGTGAGGTCACTGCACACACCACCTGCTCCGATCGGGTTTCGTCGTGGCTTCTGGGTAGGATCTCTGGGCACGCGCGGGGAGGCAGATGTATGGATTGAGTGGTACAAATGGCCTCGGATACTCACGAGCATACAACGTCTTGCTGCACACACACACACCACAGGGCATTACACTTGCATGGCTACACAGGCTGTACAAGTTACATTTCCTGTAACAAAACCTTTCTTTACAGGTTTCTGTGCAGTTTCGTGTTAACGTGGGTCACAAATTTACAGAGACAATTGCTCCTCACACGCTCAGGCAGACTTTATAGGCTTACAAGACGAAAATTTAGGTTGGGGTTAACATTTTCCATTGAATAAGTTTCTTATTGTAGATATGTATTGTGGGTAGAGTAGTTTTCCCCTAAAATAAGCTCTAAAAAGATAAGAAAAATCATGCTGTCACTTTTACAAGTGCTTTTTATTCATTATAAATCTAACACAACAGTGTCACTGTAATTGACATTCTGTAATGGTGTTTATACATATATATACAATGGTGTTAAAGGGGTGATTAGGGAAAGAGAATAACATTTAGAAAAAGAAAGAGAATTCCTGCGGCTGTGTGCCTGTCACTCCACCCAACAGACAAAACCACTCTTGTTTGAAATGTCCACAAAGCTTTTGTTTTCATTTTGCCAAGGTAGTGTTGCCTATACACGTCCTGTTGACACTGTATACACGGTTGATACTGCCACCTGTCCTTTTTATTGCCTCTGAATGGACAAAGAAATACTTTGCAAAAGGATGAATTACCTTCTTTGATATTCTAGACGCAGGACGCTGGCATTTTAAGATACAGTCACAACCGAGCTAATAGATGAATGAGACGTCTATTGAAAGCAACCGTCTGATAGATTGATTAAATATAAAAGAAGTGCGTAGACCTGGAGTTACACTTTTTAAACTTAAAATGCGATTGGTATCCATGGAGGCAGTGACTGTGCGACAAAAAAGAGAAAGAACGTTAATCCTGGATGTTTGCATTCCTGGCATTTTATACTTTGATTAATACAACAACAGAATATTCAAGATTCAATCTGTGGCCGAATCCCAACAAAGATCAGATCATAAGCCTGAATTCAAACTCAAATCCTGATCCTCTAAGAAATCTATCTCTAAAAGATTTTAAGTTCATAATTGGAATAAAATGTAACATGAATGTTTTTCCAGAAACCTAAATGAAGAATGTGTAATTTCCTTCCAACATATGTGAGATAGATGCACGGATTCATGTGTAGATAGATTTATAGGATGGATAGAAATAGACATGATATATTTTTTTGCAGTGCATGGAAAGGATTTTACTATGTGCGCAGGCAGACCCCGCCTGCTCGGTGCGCGTCACTGGCGGAGTAGTGTGGACGCGGAGTCACTCCCCTGCCTACTTTTAATAGCTTTGTCATGTGATGGAAAGCAGTTGTAAGACAGGTGCCCTCGGTTCATTCTCGGCGAGGGGCAGCAGTTGCCTGTGTGAGAGCGAGTGGGAAGCGTGTGTGGATTTCTTTTTTACTTGATTTCTTTCTCCTTTTTTTTTTGTTTTTTCCTTTTTTTTTTCTTTTTCGGACCGTCATTCAGTGGCTGGATGGCGTGGGACAGGTGTAACCAGGACTCGGTGTGGAGAGAATTAGAGGTGAGCGCATCTTAAAAAAAAAAAAAAAAACTCAAAACAAAATCCGACTTCTTCCATCTCTCTAGCCCCTTTGGACTTTTCTTTTTTCTTCCTCCCTGGAACGATGGACAGCAGTTGCCATCCGTGATTTCCACATTTACGCTCTCCTCCTCTCTGCTGGTGCCGGTGTAGTGCGCGTCTGGACTCTGCTGGGGATGCGGCGGATATACAACACGGGGGATATATGACAAGTGGAGGGAATGTGCGGGGATGTAGTTGTTGTAATGCGTGCTCAGGCTCGGGACCCATTTCTTTCCCTCGTAGGGTCTCTGCTCGAGTGATCCTGCCCGGCGGATTTCTCTCCAGCCGCGGACTGTGCGCGCTCCGGCGCCGGAGAAGCTTTTGACGCCGAAATGGCCGAAATGACTGAAATGTCTCAAAGTCAGGTATTTGGCTGACGCACGAAAATCCAGCTGGCGATAATCATCGTTTTGGTGCTGTGCTGTGGCGCATGCTATTTTCAGGGGGCTGTACGGTTGTCCACACAGAGGGGGACCGCTATCTGGCGTTGCGCATGCAGGAGCATCATAATACAATCCGTGCCGGGGCCGCGTCTGCGTGCCAACATCCCGGCCGGAGGGGACGTTGCGCTGGCTCGGAGAGCAGCAACGCATCCAAGCCAGACGGTTCCATGTTACGTGCGCATTTCATTTTACCTTCTGCGTATTTTTCTATCCATTTATCCAAATCTATACCTCACATTCGCCCCCGTCGTCTTTTTCGTCCATATATCCCTTTCCACGGTGCATGCATGAAAATAAGCCACATACTTATTCTTCTCCTGTTTCCTGATGTACTGGGTCCGTCCAGCTCAATCGGGCGGACGTTTACCTGACAGTATACTAAGTGATGCTTCAGGAAGGTTTTCACATATCTACATGGTGTGGCTGCAGTCTGGCTGCGTAACTGTAGGCTGCGGAGGGGAATATGAGAAAGAAAAACTGCTTTTATTCAATTAAAGTGAGATTCTTATTATTCCTGACAGGTTTATGTATTGGTTTTCATTCAGATCAACTGCTTTGCACTTAAATCGGCGAGTCAATCTGTCACTCTCTCCAAGAGGGTTTTCGATCGCGTTTAGTTGGGAATCCAGCAAATGATCGCGTTCCTTGTGAGATTCTGGATCCTTCTGTGCGCATTTACACTTATTAATGTGAGAAATCCCGCTCTTTCAAAAACCGGACTTTAACCCGGGTCAGCGGTGCTTCTCCGGGTGCTTTTTATGCGCGATGCGTGCGTAAATCAGAGGCGCGCTGTGGTGAGCCCTGATCGCTTCTCTGGTGGCGCTATTTCATTAGTTCACCAAGAAGTCCTCAAGATAATTGGGAGCAGGACGTACAGCCTCTGAGTATCCTAACAGCTTTGTAACGGGTCTTTTTTCCACGCCGTGCCTTGTCAGAGTGGATCACCTCAGGGGGGAGGGAAGCCTGAGACGCAGCGAATCTGTCCCCTTCGCTTTCGCAGTTGCAACATAACGGATTCGTCTCATCACAGTTTCAATCATCGTGTATTCGTGTTGGTGCGCTTCCGAAGACGGATGAACTCTGACACCGGGAGTCTGGACGGGTGTTTCCTACTTGGCACAGCATCAGTCCGCTCAGCTTTGTCCTGAACCGAACCCGACTCTCATCCCTCCCCAGCCCGCGAGCCAAATGCCTCCCGGCTTCGCCCGAGGATATCTATCTTATATCCTGCACCCTGGCCATCATGTTCCTATATCGGCTGACGTGTTGTCAACAAAATTAGGAGCGTGTTGCCTATTAGACACCAGACATGGAGTGTTTTTTTCGGGCTTGGATTTGCATGTGCGCAAGCAGGCACAGTGCGTAAACACGCCTCTAACTCTGGCGATGCTTTGCTTTTTAATGATCCCTGACTTAAGAGCTCAAAGTTCGCCCACCTTGTGTAAAGACAGCTCTGTCTGACTGCTGCATATTTCAACTGTTATTGCCTGCCTATAGTTTGCAAACTGAAAATACTCCCTTATCCAGAATGATGGGTATAATTTTGCAGGACAAAAACACAAATACTGTAGAGCATCAACAAATACAAGTTCCACTGTCATTTTAAATGATCCTGCAGAATCAGCTGAGCCAAACTTGTTGCACATTCCCTCCCCTCCTCTCGAACACCTTTTTCCTATCACCAGAGCCCATGCTTGATTTACAGCTCAGAGCATGCAACTTGCCACCACATCAGAGCTGATGATTTGCATGCTGAGGAAGCAGGACCAGCTGCTACATACATTACACATTGTCTAGGTCACATAAAAAATGGCTGGTGAATACAACATGTCAACTGTCGGCACAGAGTAGCACAAAGGCCAGTGACGGTGTGATGGTGGGAGGACAAAGTGCAACCGAAGCTCATGGAAACAGGTTGCAGGTTTTACTCGCTGAGATCTGCAGCCAAGAAAACATTCTGTTAATAATCAATAGAACAATAGTAAGAGAGGCGATGAAGGCTGGATTGATTAATGATAGCCTGTAAGTGTGTCACATGAAAGTGGAAGACCTATTTAAACTTTTTTTGTTATTAATGTGTAAAATATATGAGTTTCCTTTGTTTTCTGACTCACCAGCAGGTTTAAAAAGGACTTTTTACTTTTCATCCCATTGTTTTCAAACCCGCTCCAGAAATTCAGTGTGAGATTTTGCACGTGATGGAGACATAGCATCTGTCTGACCACCTCTGTTGTTTTATCTCTCTCCAGTGCGCTGCTTTGGTTGGTGAAGACCAGCCCCTCTGCCCAGACCTCCCTGAACTCGACCTCTCAGAGCTGGATGTCAGTGACTTAGACGCAGACAGCTTCCTGGGTGGCCTCAAATGGTACAGCGACCAATCAGAGATCATTTCCACTCAGTATGGCAATGAGGCATCCAATCTTTTTGAGGTAAGTACAGCTGTTTGTTTTTTATCTCAGCATCAGTATTTACTATCCATTTCTTTATCAGTCATTTCGTTGAGCATTTATGATATGGCGAGTTGCTTCATTCTGATTATGCAGCATATTTGCATCTACGGTGGGGGTCGGGATTGAGCTGATATCGTAACACGCTCCAGCAAACACAACACGCTATCGCATTCTTGAATGCTAGCCAAAAAAAGTTGCCAGTTTAAAAACATGCTTTCACATAGCTCCCAAGTAGAAAAAGGGGTGATAAAGTGATGAGCGATAAGCCCAGGAGAACCTTGGTCCCCTTGTTTTCATCCACCTTATCAAAACTTAGAGTTTATTTCAGCACTGAGTCAGTAATGCGGCACACATCTAACAGATAGCTCCAGTGGTAAACTCTGGTTATGCCCGTATTGCAAAACACTTCACAAAGGTTGGAGTGTAAAACTTTCTAATCTTTGCCCCCCCCCCCCCTTCTCGTCCTCCCATTCGATTGAGTTTTCTTTCTGACTTGTTTCCTCAAATCCTTCTCTCTTTCTGACGCTCTCTCTCTCTGCTCTCACCCGGTGACAAACAAAGTCCGCAGAGGGTGATGATCTGGCCAGGGCCATAATGCCATCGGTCTGGGGACTGACTTCCAGTCCCCAGTTCATTATAAGCCTTTATCAGTGCCAGAGATAGACAAGAAAGACTGAGATTGGATGCTTTTTGCCTCGCCTCAGGAGGAAAAACCCTGTCTGAGAAGGCAGTGTGTGTGTGTGTGAGTGTATGTTTGTGTGTCTGTGCCTATGGCCCTGTCATGTAGTCGCATTTTCAGGGTCTTAACGTGTGTGTGTGTGTCTCCTCAGTGGTCTTGCATGCAGCAGTTGATAACAGACTAAATTCCTTCCACGTTTAACCTCCCCACCACTGCCACCACCTTTTTTTCGGAGTCCCTTTATATCAGCACACATTCTACCTCTGTGGGCCACCCCAATACACACATACGCACATAAAGTGTGGGGGGGGGGGGCCTTAAGTACTAGCTGGTGTGACCGAGGCTCCTCTGTCGTCTGAGAGTGATATGGCTTGAAGCCACCGAGGCTCTGGGGATGGATAAAAATACCAGTGACAGTGTGTTCATGTGCCCGTGTCTATGTGTGTGCAACACAATGGAACTTAGCACCCATTGAGGACCGCGATGAGGGACCTAGCTCGTCGCAAGAAGTCACGTGTGACTTCTGACTTCTGTATGTGTCCCTGCATGTGCACATGTTTGCATCCATGCAAATACTGTACATTGGAGCAAGTATGCAATGTTTTCACACTCCCCACAAGCCAGCATGCTATTGTATTATGCTCAGAATATGGAAAGGCTTCAGTTCATCATACGGCAGGACCCGGCTAATCCTACTTAATCTGACAGGGGAAAGTTTGCTGCTCGGCGAGGATCAGAGGGCCGGGGCTGTAGCTGTACTTCCTGTACCCCCCCTCCCTGATTGGCCTGTACAAAGAGCCGAGAAGCATCCAATAAGAAGTTGAAGATTAAAGAATGGGCTAATAACTGGTCAGATTTAAAGCCTGCAAGTGTATTTCTTTGTTGTTGTTTTTCCATTTTCCTTCCCTCTCTTGTGGGTACATCCACTTAATAAATCAGCTTGTATGTGCGGTTGGAAAAAAATCAGGTAGCGGATTATCAGGCTGCCTTGAGTAACATGTGTAACAGCTGGGTGCAGCTGTCACATGGAGGCCCCTGGCCATAGAACAACACACTCTTGTTTGAACCGACTTTCATGAGTTCAAGACGGCCGTTGAAATGATTTGCAGCTCAGACTGTTTTTCTTGTGTTGTGCTGCGGCTTTTATTCAGGTTATAGTTCCATGTGACAGGCAGTAAAGCAAATAAGTAAACAGAGCTTGACTTGGTTATGCAGTACGGCTGGGAACGGAAATATTGCTGTCACATCAGAGGAAATCTTATTTGGGCTTTGGGGGGACAATGGAAATTGTGTGTTGCACATTGTATAAGGTTTCTGAGAGTTTCTGTCCGTGTGTGTGTTTTCTGTTCCTTAAGCAGGATACGGTCTTAGATCACAAACTGTCCTCTGGCTGGCCTTTTGCTCCATTCCCTGCCACTGTCCCAACTGTCCCTGACACGAATTGTGGGGAATGATACAACCCCCCCCCCCCTTCTCTCTTGCAGCGCACACACACTCACACACATAGATTCACATAACAGCTATTGCTCCTGGCACAGCGTGTTTGACACCTCTTCAAAACAGGGCCGACTGTGAAAGTCCACTGTCTATTTCGGGTTGCAGTTGTTAAGGGGTGGTCACTCCACTAAGTTCCCAATGTACTGCCAAAGATAACAGCACAGAAGCGTGACCCAATGTCTCTTTAACCGCAGGTCCCCTGCTTGGGTTTCATGTCGAGCTTCAAACGCTTGATTGATGGAAACGTGTCTTGTTGGTTTTGACTTATTTGGATTCTTGGATTCCAACGTGGACAACCCCCCCACCCCCTGGTGGAGGTCGTTCTGGGATGTGGAAGGCCACATCACACATATACAGATCAAGGCATTTACAGTTGTCGGAGGCCGCGTGTCGGTGTACGTGATTATGCAAGAATATTGGCACGGAGTTGGCATATCGCTGCCGTACCTGATGATGGACGGACAGGTGTGGGGGGGGAAGAGACAGGTGTGGACAGAGAGAAGCGAAACAATGGGGGGGGGGTGCAGGGACAAACAGAAAAAGGCCAGCAGATGACAGGACGTGGGGACAGATGGGCAGCGAAAGAGACAAACATTTAGACCAGGAGAAGCTTGGACCTGTGCCAGTCGAATGAAAGCCCATGGATTGGACGTAAAAGGTTGTAGGCTTTGCAGGTAGTAAAATAAGATGCCGAGGCTTAAAGCATTACTCTCATATTATATAGGGACGTGCTGTTTGTGTGCACGTGAGCTCACACACTGTATGTAGGTTGAGGCAGTGATGCAAACTCTTTATATTACTCCAACAACAGGATACGGTGTGTGATTACATCAGATTTCGAAAGGCATTATGGCGTCTCGTCTCGCTTGTTTGTGCCTTTTTGGACAGATGCTCAGGCGCTTACTCTTAAGTAACGGCAGATTGGATTGATTGGGTCACTCTCTGCAGGCTTTGATAAAACATGCTGCAATGAAAACGTTTTCCCCGAGCAGCTCTTTCATCCCCCCGCAAAAACACGTGTAAGCGTAGATTAGCTCGTGCACTTGTTGGCGACAGACGCTCCTGTGAGCTGAGACAGGAGCAAAGACGTAGACCCTGTGAGAGGAATTGTCACGCCCACACACACACACACACACACACACACACACACACACACACACTCACACGCACAAACACAGACAGCAGAGACCCTTATTGTCCCTGTTCCTACTCCCTGCTGAATGCCGGTTACGTTTATTTTGCAAATTTATGCTGACATTTGAGAGTACACCACCCGCACCAGTTCACCGCTCCACCAAAGGGTGTATGAATTATCATATTCCACAGTATAATATGATTTTCTCAAGTGAGTCCTATTAGAATACACTATACTTTCCTCATCCCGAGTTCCCTCCAGTTTTTTCTGCTGTGCTGATACATTGTTTCCACGTCGTGATGGGAGAAATCCTCCATCACTGTCCAAGGCACACCGGCAACGATGCTGTTTCAAGCAAACGAGAGGGAGCGCGGACAAGCAGGCACAGACGTATAGAAGAGAGATGCAGACTTTGGCTGTCCGGGCCCATGTCGTCTCGGAGCGTCTGTCAGATCCACTCCACAACAAGGGCTCTCAAAACGTCGCCCCACAACACTGTGGGCTCTGCCATCCCGTCTCTCTCCCTCCCATCCTCCCTCTGTCTTTTTTTGCTCCCAAGGCAAAGCATTTGTTCCTGGCTGKTGGAAAGTTGAAGCTGCTGCAGCTAAACAAATATATTCTGGCCTTCAACAGTCGCCTCTGGATAGAAAGGCTGGAAGGAGGAAAAGGAGCGAGGGGTAAAAAAAGAAATAAAAGGAAAGGGAGCAGGGGGGGTCGGGTATGGCCAAAAAAGAGAAAAAATAGTGCCCTCGGGAATGTTTAGTAAAAGAGGAAGAGAGCATCTTTTGGTCTGGTGGTGGCTGCTTGGCTGCCTGTCTGCCCCCCCACACACATGCACACACACAAACCTACATTCCCAGTAGGCCGCTGCTGCTGATTGAGGCATGGTTTGGTGTTCCTGCCCCAGCTGATCCCCTGCCCCCAGTGGATACCCATCTCTCTCATCACACCAGAGCCACCTGTGTGTACGTGTGCCGGTGCATCTTTGTGTAATTGAGACACCCCTGCACAAAGATCAGATAGTGGTCTTTTCTGGCCCGACACAACACAATCATGCCTTTCTGTTTTGTGCGTTCACATGTGTGTGTGTGTGTGTGTATTGGGTGGAATTGACTATTTTTAGTACCTGGGGTAATCTCTACTAAGAGCCTTTCAGGGCTGTTTCGCTTTAACCTGGCCAAAACACTAAGCCAATAATCCAGCGCCCCCACAACTCAACTCGCACACACACATACACACAGCAACATGTTGCTGCGATGTCATGTGATAAGACCAGTCTTCTTCTTTGTATTATTTATTAGCGTCTACTTTGGAGAGGGAGGAAGGTATAAACAATGGATTGCTAGAATGCTTTTATGCTCGTCCTCTTGTGCAAAGAAACAAGACAGGATGCGCAGGATGGTGTTTGCATAGAGATGAAACGAACGGATGAGAGAGAGTGTCAGTCCACGAAATAGTGAAAGCAATAGCAGGTGGAGACAAAACAACAAAAACAGAGGGAGGGGAAAGAATGGAGTAATGAACGGTGAAGCATCAGTTTTGAGCGATAGGCTGCTTCCCCCTCTTCAGGTAAGGCCAATTGATCCCAGGTGTGTGTTTGTGTGTGTGTGAGTTCTTTGCCAGCATATACCCAGCACTGCCAGTAGCCCCGGCCAGACCTTCTGCTCC